CCCCAAAAAAAAAAAAAAAAAAAAGTGGATTTCTATAAACCTATTCTAGTAAAGCAGGGCTGGACCCATGGCATAGTGGTTAGGAGAGATGGATCCCAGATGGCCAAGTGAAGTTAAAGTCCTGGTTCAGGTGGCTTGAGAAACACCAGGCTCATATGCCCAAGTACTAACAGGATGAGACATGGAGGGGGATTGTGGTGTGGTCGTACCCCATGGGGGCCATGTCCTGTTGTGTGTGTGGGGGGGTGCTTTTCCTCTATCTTGTAAGTGTACATGGCTTCTGGCAAAGAAAAAAGAAAAGCATGAAGGAAGGAATAAATTTAAAAAAAGAAGAAAGGAAGAAAAAAATACCCAGGGGTGCTTTCTCTTTCTTAAAACACATCCCCCTTGGGCGGTGATTTCTCGCTTTCTATCTCTCTGTCTCTGTCTTTCTGGTGAGCACATGTGCTCTACAGCAAAAACCTCTCATAAAAAAAAACAGAAAAAAGAAAAAAAAAGAAAAAAGAATTTTATTTAACTTTCTTTTTTATTTATTTTAATTTGACCAGAGAGGGACACAGTGAAAGAGAGAAAGAAAGGGAAAGTGAGAAAGCAAGTTGCCAGGTCTGGGACTCAAACCGTAGTTGGCCACATGGGAGTCTGGCACCCTTAACCACTACTCTGTCTGCTAGCCCTTGAAGACAGTTGCTTAACCACCCACCACACCACCTTGCTGGCCCTAAAATTAAAGACTTTTATACATATGAACAAAAATAGAACTGACCCTTGAACAACACAAGTTTGAAGTGTATAGGTCTAATTATATGTCAATTTTAAGTTTTGTTAAAAAAAAAAAAAAAAAAGACCAGTAAGGTCTTCATGCTGTGATCCACCCCTAGCACGAGTCAGCCCTAGCTCGTGGGTATGTGAATGCCTTGCAGAGACCTCCGTGGGTTCTCTGGATGTGAACTTGGAACCTCCCAGGTGAGTTAGCTTCAGAATGCTGCATTACTGTTGTCACTATTCTCTGGCCCCTTTTTCAAAAAATAGATGGGCAAATACAGTCAAAATCTATGAATATATTTCCTTTTCGTTATGATTTTGTTACTAACATTTTCTTTTCTCTAGTTTAATAAAGAATACAGCATTTGATACATATGACATAAAAAATATGTAGGCAAGAGGACCAAGGGCTTGAGGCTGTCTGAGCAATATAACAAGACACCATCTAAAAAAGAGCTGACTGGGGGCTGGCAGGTGGCAAGGTGGTTAAGGGCGCTGGATTCCCACATGGTTGACCACGGTTCGAGTCCTGGACATGGTGGCTTGCTTTCCCAGTTTCCCTTGCTCTCTCTCTCTCTGTCTGGTAAAATTAAAAAAATAATAATAACAAATGGAACTAAATAAATAAATGGTTTTTAATAACAAATGGAACTAAATAAATAAATAAATGGTTTTTAAAAAAATTTTAAAAAGTTTATTCATTCATTTATTTTAATTTGATCAGAGAGAAACATGGGGTGGGGGGGGGAGGGAATGAGAAAGCAAGCTGCCAGGTCCAGAACTCGAACCATCAGAGACCATCCCCCTAGGGGGTGATTTCTCACTTTGTCTCCCCGGACAGCACATAAGCCCAATAGCAAAAAAAAAAAAAAAAAAAAAAAAAAAAAAAGCTGGGTACAGAGGCACATGCCTGCAGTCCTAGCTAGGAGGCTGAGGCAAGACAACTATGACATGGAGAGACCTTCTCTAAAAAATAAAATAAGATAAAAAATAACAAAAAATCCACACAAGATATAGCTAATAAGTCAGTACTGGAAATTAAAAACAAAACAAAACAAAACAAAACTTCAGTTGATCCAAAAGAAAGCAAAAAAAGGCCAAAGAAGTAAGAAATAGGACAAGTATGAAACAAACAACAAGATGGGAGATTTAAATCAATGGCATCAAGAATTTTATTAAATGTAAATTGTCTAAACATTCCAATTAAAAGACAGAGATCACCAGACTGAGTAAGAAAAAGAAGACTTAACTATATGCTGTGTACAGGATCCTGGGTCTTTGGGAAAGTCACGACGCGTTTTTGCACAGAACAAAGAAAAGTACGCCATGACTTTCCCGACAACAGTTTCCGCCTTCTGTTTGTTGTCCTTACGTATGTGTTAGGCTGAAAGAACGAGTGCTTGAGCGTACCAACCTCAGAAGAGTGGTTACTCTGGAGAAGGGGGATGAGGACAGAACTGGGGAAAGGCATTTCTAAACCTGAAATGGTAGCTATTTTTTAAACGAATAAATAAATTGTAGATACATGGAAGATTCGGTGGTTGGCAAGATTCTGATCCCTTCTAAAGGCTGGCTTAAAAAGGGAGCTCCTCTTGTAATAATTTATTAAAGGCATTTATTTCACATTATGTTCTACTACTGGCTCAACTCTAGGGACATACAGACCTGTAAAAATGGTTTGATTTGAGCAGTTCCACAGCTTCATACACTTTATGGATAGAAAGCAGATGAGAAGCAGCCTTGACATACTGATCTTGAAAACACAGCTGTTTGGCAAAAGCTTCCACAGCCCACAGCCACACGTGGTAGCCAGCTGGAAAAAATGAAAGATGGTGATTAAAAAAAAGAAAGAAGAAAAAAACACTTAAGGAAAATATCAGTATGTACGTTTGGGTTGAAAATGCTTTCACATTCTCTGCATTAAATAGAACATTTAGGGGCCAGCAGGTGGCATGGTGGTTAAGGGTGCTGGAATCCCACAGGGCCGACTGTGGTTCGAGTCCTGAACCTGAAGCCTTGCTTTCTCTCTCTCCCTCTCTCTCTCTCTCATAAAATTAAAATAAATATTTAAATAAAATTAAAGTAATTCTTAAAAAAAAAAAAAAAAGGCAGAACATTTAGATACTAATTCAACTGTCATTTCAGGTCATCTGCTTCCATTTACCTCCCCCCACACCAACATCCTGAAGCATATGTTTTTTTGATTACTAATACAAAATAGCACAAAATTCAAAAGACAAAAAGGGAGGGAGTCCAAGACAGTGACTGTGTAATACATACATAATAGGACAATATTTACAAGACTGGGATGACAATGACTGGAGAGGAGCTTCCAGGGTATTGGCTATATTATGTTTCCTGATGGGGTGTTGGTTCAAAGGGTGTATTTAGTTTGAGAAGTTCACTGCAGCTTACTATCTTTGTACTTATTTCTCTATATAGAGCATACTTGAATAAAAAGTTTAAAAGAAACTGGGCATGGCATAAAAGTGTTCCTTGCCTTCATGGCCCCCTCCTGCCCCTCTTTGCCCAAAAGTCCTTTTCCTCTAGGTAACCACCTTGCCGTTTGAAACCTTTGGAAGCAGTCTATGAAGATACAGCCACGTTGTTTTATACATACGAATGAGCATTAAACATTCAGTTGTGCACCGATACTTTGTTCACTTGTTATACTCCAAGGCTCCATTCTATGTGAGAATGCACAGACTTGCCTCATTCTTTTGCTACCATAGGGCTTTCTATTGTATGCATTTGCATGGGAATTAACTGAAGTTCCTGCCATCTTTTGCTATTAGAAATACTGCTGCAGTGAAAGTCCAGGGATACCTGTCACTTTCTAGGTATAAGTACAGTTAGATGAATTCCTATTAGAATTATTGAGCCAAAGACTACATGTATTTTTTATTAAGGTTTCTGCCATAGGGTGTGTGAGCTTGCCAGGGAGAGGGGGAGACAGGGAGAAGGAAAGTGAATAATCACCTGCAAAAGGGGATAGCCGTGTTGCAATCCTTTCTCCATTCTCCTCCTGGGATTTTGGGCACACATGCACACACACCTGGCATGATTTTCAAGTCACCAGGTCTGGGACTTGATCGGCAGCTGGCCATGTGGGAGTTCACTGCCTTAACCACCTGCCAACTGCTGGGCTCAGGTTACATGTATTTTAAAATTTATCAGACACAGGCTAATTATCCCTGAACTTCTTACCAATTATGCTTTTGCTATTAAAGTGTGTCAGTGACCTGTCTTTTTTAGGGATTGGGTTGAGTTATTAGCCTACTGCCACAAAAAGAATTATTGTTAGGGCCAGCAGGGGATATGACAGCTAAGACACTGAACTCCCACATGGCCAACCATGGCTTATGTCCCAGACCTGGCGGCTTGCTTTCTCACTTCCTTCTCCCCCTCTCTGTTTCTCTGGTGAATGTATGTGTCCTATAGCAAATTAAAATAGTAATACCAGTGGAGCCAGTAGGTGGCATGGTGGTTAAGGGCACTAGACTCCCACATGGCTGACTGTGTTTCAAGTCCCAGACTTGGTGGCTTGCTTTCTCACTTTCTGTCTCTCTCTCACTCTGTCCCTCTCTGGTTAAATTAAAATAAATAAATAGATAAAAGTTAAATAAAGTAACACTTAAAAAAAAAAGTAAATAAATAAAATTAAATGTTTTTTAAATTTAAAAAATTATTCATTTTATTTTATTATTATTTTATTTGACCCAAAAGAGAGGGTAAGTGAGAAAGCAAGTCACCAAGTCTGGGACTCAAACCATGGCTGGCCATGTGGGAGTCCAGCGCCTTCACTACCATGCTACCTGTCAACCCCTAATAATTAATTTTTCAAAAAAAAAATTATCCTTGCATCAGACTGTATTTTTAAGTGATTTTGAGCTCAAGACTAGTACCATTAAGAGCCATCTTTGCCAGGTATATCCAAGAAACGACAGAGCTTCTGTCGGCAAGAACATACCTACTGGCGCCATTGCTACCAGGTGGTCTGTCAGCTCTCCTCTTTCTGCTGCAGTCTGGAGAACACCTTTTAGATCTCCTTTCCAAAGCATGAGCTGGTGAAATAACTCAGGGTGGCCATTTTCCAGGTGACCTTTGCCTGTTTTTAAGAGAGAGAATATTTGGAAGATATTTTAGAAACATTTGTCTTCATGACTTTTGCAAAAAGGGAAGGATGAAAGACAGGAATAAACTCAAATGAGTGGTCACTCACTGATGGGTGAGTCCCCCTCTCCCACAGTGATTATAACGGGGCTCGAAGCCCACCTGTTCACTTGTCTACCCACTCAGCCTGCTTCTCAAGCCCACTTAGCTGACAGGCAGAATAACCATAGCAGTACCACACCACGGCCCACAAACGGGATGTATACAAAGTACTCAGAACGTATAAAGATGGATGGGATTGTGCTGATTAGATTTGCCTCACCTTCCATTTCAAACATTCTGTACAGGGAAGCCCTGTCTGTGAAAAGTCCCAGGTGAAATCTTTCTTCAAGATCAGAAGACACATCTTCATTCAACTCTGTTAATTTACAAAGACACAAATCAAATGAAGTCATTGCATTTGTTACTGTTTTCTGTCCTGTAAGTTCTGAATATATGGGCCTGGAACATCCACATTAGATTCTAAGAAAATTAGTGCCCTTGTTTATCCTAACAGAGAATCCTGCTGGTTACAACATAGCAAAAAGTAAAATACTTAAGTATTAAAGCTCAGTTTTGGTAAAATCCAGTGAGATGATATAGCTTATAGTCCACTCAAAGAGTTGAGGGGGGAGAAAATATTAAAAGCAAACCCCAGATTCAACATGTAATTGAATTGCAGTAAAAAAACAAAACAAAAAACAAGCAAACAACAATAACAACAAAAAAATCAGAAATGTCTTCGATAACTGCTAGCAGAAAGGGATTCAATATTCGTTCTCTGGGACCAGCAGTTGGCATAACAGTCACGTCATTGGCCTCCCACGTAGTTGACCCGCTATTCTAGTTCCAGGACTTGGTGACTTAAAACTCATGCAGGGTGTGTGTGCATGGGTGCCCAAAATCCCAAGAGGAGAATGGAGGAGAAGGGATTGTGGTGTGGCCATTCCCTCAGGGGGTGATCTCTCGCTTTCTGTCTCTCTCTCTCTCCAGCAAGCACACGTGTCCTATTTTTATTTCACCCTGTAAGAAAGAACTTTGAGACAGGAAGAGCCTGCCTGTCTTGGCTCTGACCCCTGTTCTAGCCAGCTGTGATGAGTTTCCCTTTTGTGGTCATACTATAGGGTCGGCAGAGGACTGGGGGTTCTGCAAAAAAAAAAAAAAAAAAAAAGAAAAAAGAAAAAGAAATCGTTCTCTTCTTTTTGAAATGTCAAGGGACCAGCAGTTAGCATAATGGCTATGTCGCTGGACTCCCATGTAGTCGACCGTGGTTCGCGTCCCAGACTCGGTGGCTTAAAACTCATGCCAGGCGCATGTGTGTGCGTGCCCAAGATCCTGAGAGGAGAATGGAGGAGAAGGGATTGCGGCGTGACCATCCCCCCTGGGGGGTGATTTCTTGCTTTCTGTCTCTATGTCTCTCTCTGTCTGGCGAGCGCACGCGCCCTACAGTGAAAATCTCTCCAAAAAAAAAAAAGTCAACTAATTTTTAAATAAGGGAAATAATGTAAAGCTATGTTATTAGTTGTGTAAGTTATAAAAACAAAATCTCTCCAAAAAAAAAAAAAAATCACTGCAAAGCTGAAAAAGAAGATTATGTAATATAATAAAAGTATGAAACACCTTTGGCCAGACATAGAAACTGAGAACAGCGTGGCCTCTGAGTAAAGGACTGGATATCAAGGGTGGGAGGGAAGTTTGCTTTTATCAATACTGTTTGGATTCCATTTTGTCATATGCATCCCCTTTCCATATGTCAAATTCAAATGAACAAACTAAAGTTACTTAGATATCAGAATACAGTGGGCATTAAATGAAGGCTTAAAAAAAAGAGTGAAGGCTTTAAAATAAAAAACTAAAAACAACTCCCATAGACAAAATCTTCCCTGAGTTTGTTTTTAAGGAACTGCCATATTATGAGCACATTAAAGAAAATGACATTTTTTGTACATATACTACTTATTATGACCAAAAAAAAAAGAGACAGAATACTTGAAAAAGAGTCAATTCATGCTGAGATATTTGAGCCAACCTACTAAATCGGGCACCCAGATGGCAGAAAGGAATTAGATTTAGAACCGTATTTAGCAGCGGGCCAATGGTGATATTAGGTCAGAATGGGGAGTTTGACAGTGGGTACGGGGAGTTAGGGGGGAGGCTGGAAAAGAGCACAGAAATACGAACAATTGTAGGCAATTGTGTTCTTACTGGACAAATGAGTAAGCACCCTATAAACGTCAGTCCCCAAATGGGCGAAGGAAGCATGCATTTGTACCTTTGGAGTGTTTTGCAGTTGCTAGTACCAAACAGTCCTGATGAAGCTCCTCTTTGGACCTGTGGTCCAGGCTTGTGCTCAGTGGAAGCATGGAACGAGCTTTTCTCTTCTTGAATAAGGCTTCTAAAACATAGTAAAAGTACAGAGAGCCTGAAGAACTGATCAAAACACAAAGTGGAATTCACGATGTATGACTGTAACTGACTGGAGGGTACTACCGGGCACAGAAAGCTCCTGTGCCTATAAAGCAGCTTTTGAATTACATGAGCTAGGGACGATGTCCACAATACACACAAAATGCATGTGCTAACACGAATAAAGCAGTATCAATACTGCGAGACCCTTCACCAAGCGCTAAAAAATGTTCGGAAGCAAGACCTAAGGTTGAAACGTAATCGAAATGCCTACAATTGTTTAAAAACTAAAAAACAAAGACAAAGCAAAACAAACTGAAACAAAAACATACTCTGGACACCTCAGCTGCATGGAATATTTTAGGATGCTTTAACAAAATATTTTAATCATTAAATACCAACCTGGCTTCTCTTTAGGAGGCTCCTTTTTCAGAAGAGTGACTTTGTTATTAATGGTCACTTTGGACTTTTCCAAGCTTGAGGAGACGGGAGTGAAAATAACTGGTTCTCTAGTAACTACACCGCAGGGGAAAAAGAAAGGAAAAACGTTTGGAATGAGAACAATGAAGAACCTGAATTCTTTTTTAAAATGAAGAGCTACACCACACATGGCAGGCGATTTCATCCTTTACCAAAACATGAGCCAGAATGTTTTAGAAAGAAAACAAGAATGGCTGTCTTCCTTTCCTTACCTCATTAAATGGTTGTGTTCCAGGGGTCTGTACGCCGACGACTTAGAACTGTGACTATCTGAGGAAAAGCCTCTACCTTCAACTTTATGCCACAGAACATAGGCACAGGAGTCTCCAAACTTTCAAGTGACAAAGCAGCTCTTACGTCATTCTGTCACACAGTACGAACTGCATCCCCAAACTTCACTAATAACAAATGACTTCGATAATAAAGAATATTAGCTGTATATGGTATGGAATCACAATTCTGAACAAAAATACTTTATTTATCCGAATTAGGAGTCCGACGGTCACAGAGATGAGAGGGTCAAGGATACCTCTGTATTTTGTCCGGATTAATCCTGTCACTTCAAAATATTGTTTCAGAATTAAGCACAACTCACTGCTTCTATTTATACTGTCTAATATCCATTCTACCCAGACAATTTTTGGTCTTCAACTAGAAATTCAGATGCTCTTCAATTTATAATGGGGTTATGTACCAATAAACCTGCTATAAGCTGAAAATATCCTACATCAAAAATGAATTTAATACTCCTAACCTACTGACCATCACAGCTTATCCTAGTCTACCTTCAATGTTCTCAACACATGTACTTTAACCTACAATTCTAACTCATAGCCTAGCTCATAATAAAGTGCAGAATATCTCACATGGCTCACTGAGAACTGCACAGAAATAGAAAATCAGAATTCATAATAAAGTGCAGAATATCTCACATGGCTTACTGAGAACTGCACTGAAATCGAAAATCACAACAGTGCCATGGGAACTAGACGTAGGTTTTATACTAAAAGTGCACTGCTTTTGCTCCTCTATAAAAATGTAAAATCGTTGGAGATCAGCAGTTAGCGTAATGGCTATGTCACTGAACTCCCATGTTGTCGACCGCATTTCATGTCCCGGACCCGGTGGCTTAAACTCACGCCGGGTGCATGTGTGTGCATGCCCAAGATCCCGGGAGGAGAAGGGAGGAGAAGGGATTGCGGCGTGGCCATCCCCCTCGTGGGGGGGATGATTTCTTGCTTTCTATCTCTGTCTCTGTCTTTCTGGCGAGCGCACGTGCCCTATAGCAAAAACCTCTCCAAAAAAAAAAAATAAGTGTAAAATTGTTAAGTCAAACCATCTGAAGTCGAGGACCCTTTTGTGGAATGCAATATTGGAAACTAGTTCTGGGGTACTGTTTGTAAGAAATCTAAGAATTGCCACTATGACTTAATCGACTGGAAGAAGTGGATAACCATTCATTTTTTTTTCATTTTTCTTTTATTTGGAGAGGTTTTTTGCTATAGGGCGCGTGCGCTTGTGAGACAGAGAGAGAGATAGAAAGCGAGACATCATCCCCCAGGGGGGATGGCCACGCCGCAATCCCTTCTCCTCCATTTTCCTCTCAGGATCTTGGGCAT